TCTGGCCACCTGTCTGTCCCCTATATATGTATTTGGTATGCGTACATGCACAGTTTGCGCTGACAAACAGCCTTTGATTGTGTACCAATAAATCTGTCATGCTGGCCAGTGAAATCACAATCTTTCCTGTCGAACTTAAAAGCCGGTGTTGTGGTTGAGTCCGGGGCAAGGCGGTCCAAGACAAAGACCAAGTGTGTGGTTAAGACAGACGCAAAAACTCTGAGTTGGACCTGTGTCAAGCTGTGATATTTTTTCTTTCTTTTCCCCTATGTACTCGAACTTCACATTCACAACGTCATAGCACAATGTAACACTCAGATCACTGGAATAAAAACGTCAGGAGACTTCAGTCGGTCCTTATACCGGTACATGTGCATGTGCACCAATGCACATGCTCCAACTGCACGCACATGTACTGTATGTTCAGTACATGTACATGTACCTGTAGACACAGAACTACAGTGTACATGTACTGTATTTCGATGCATGCAGAGGTTAGCACAGTAGTGTACATGTACACATGCTGTCCAAATACATGTACTGGTACAAGTCAGCCCGGGATCATACACACAAACAAGTAGAGAGCATGTATGTCTTTAATTAATGTTTATTCTGATTCAGGTTTGTCTGAGGCCATCCCAGGCACGCTCTGGGAACCCCGACTTGACGTCAACGAGGGGCGCAGTACGAACACCAGACTATAATTAGACCCCCATCGGGTGTCTCCATGCCATCAATCCAGTCCCACTGCTGCAGTTGCCAGCGAGCAAACATCATTTGTCTCTGGCCCATAATTATCACCTGCACATGTTGACCGATATGAGAGTGCCTGTTGTGGCGCAAGTGTGCGTAGGAATCATAAGTGGTCTGCACATAAACATGTATGTAAATCCATAGATGGCTGGCCATGCTCAGGATTAACGATATTGATTAATTTGATTTGGTTGCAAGATGAAATGAATGTGAAGTCATTCGAGCCCACTGCAAATGTACATGAACATTTATGTACACAAACGCAATGTTTATACACTACAAGTGTACGCACACGAACTGCAATGTAATCTGCCATCCACTATGACTACGAAACCCTTTTGGAGTTGGTGTTTGTTCAACCTGCGACTCTTTTCCATTACCATTCCAGGGGAAAAGCATTCCACCAAGACAAAGACAACAGAAACATGTGATTTAAACAGAGATCCTATGCATGAAATTTCTGCGACATCGCATTTACATGTACTGCGATGTACATGTACCGGTAAAATGATGAAATCAAGCACAGAGAGTGACATGATGCACACACGAGCAATTGGTGAGTACGCACATGTCTACAGATTCTACATGTACATGTACCTGGTAAATCTACACCATGGCAACGGCACAGCCACACATGAACACAGTGGCAATTTAGGCAGCTGATAGACCTTTGTGTGACCTTTAGCCTTGCTGCTTGCTAAGTTGTGAAGACCACTGACCTTTGTTATTCATCCCGTACTTGTCCCCTAATGCTTCCAATATCATTTGCCGGACCACCACCGTCAATTAAACTTCTGTGTATGGCCGGTCATGTCTGTGATCCTGAACCGTCCCCCCTCTCAACCCTTCCAGTCTTTCACCGACCCCTGACATTTATTTCTGCATGCAGGCAATAGTCCGCAACACTATTTCAAGCAGCGTTTCAAAACCCCTCATATATACACGCGTACATGTACGCCAAACTGACACCGTGTGTTATCTGTGGGCTAGCGTTAAGTGCAGATCATCTCTAAATACATAGGATCTGCAGCTTGGTTTAATGCATGTACGGGTTAAGCTAGCTGAGGCACAGGTGCACACATGTATCCATTCACCATTATGGATGGAATGCTGGTACAGGTACATGTACAGGCACAGTGTGGAATCCTACTGAGTTGAACAATCTGGCAGACTCCAAGAAACTCTTTTCTTTCGCAATAGAGGTTTCTACGGTATAGGCAAGTTTTTTTTAGGGATCTCGGTTTTTTCTGACAGTTGTCAAGCTCTGCGTTAACCACGTCATTTTCAGTTTAACTCAGGACCTTAAAGAGACGTTAACCCTAACACTCCTCAGTCCTCCAACAGGTGAAGGATTGAGGAGGGTTAGGGTTAATGTCAGTAGTGTGCCATCTTGATGCAATGATTTTCAATTTTTTTTTTCAGAATGTCATTTCCAAAAAGATGGAAAAGAGAATCCCCATTTTACTTCAAGGCTTTGCAGATGCATGTTGGTCAGGGTGCATACCACACCACCAACTATGCCATTCTTTGGTTTTGAACCAAAAGTGCCAACAGACTAAAGTGGGCAAACAGTTCAAAGCCAGAAAGTAAAAAACATTACACCCACTCGTTCCAAAAAAAAATCAGTTGATATAAATTTAATTCTGGCCTGGCAGCAGCAACTACATAAATGTACATATATATACATGTATGTCTGAAGACGGTGCTGTGCATGAAAAAGTACATGTACAGTGAGCCAATTTGGCCACAGCAAGCCAGCTAGCTCTCTGTGGGCCATCTGACTTTCTTTTTTTTTCCTGTCGAGCTGTGTGTCCATGGAAACCCTCTCTCTTGAGAGGTACCGCACTCGTCAAGTGCCAGTGAAAAAATGACTTTCCCTCCTTCACTATCAGATGTCCTACTTGTTGGATAAAAAAAAAAAATGGCAGGCTATGTTTGCCAATTTTGTACCACGGAGCATAATCTGAACTGAGGCTGAAGATACAAGGTACACTGTGTACGTATTCAATTGCGATTGGAAGGGACTCCTTGCAACTTGTATCATTTACAGGTTTAGTAAATGGGGGGTGTCCATGACTGTAAGTGTCAGCCTGGCGCGCATGTGCGGAGGGATAAATTTTCATCAGCAGGTTCTCTGGGCATCCTAGATTGAGCGTCTACGCACATCCTGTTCTTTAACTCAAACCCCCTAGGGTGTATGTAAAATCCTATTGAAATTGGAGGATTTGGGACAGTTTGGGTTAATTACGCCTTTGAACTCACTTTGAGCTTAACTTCAAAGGTACATGTATGACGACACAATAATAGGGCCTGCAAATGCCATTTAAGGGTAAGAAAAGCCAATCATTAGTTTCTGTGTGTAAAAGATAATTTGCATCGTCCGATCACTTTTGGATATTTATCTTACCTTAAGATTAAGAGTTATGTTGAAATTATTCGGTCGTACACATTCAACCCGTTTGTGCTTTGTACATTATGATTTCACCTTATTCAATTAATGTTATTAAGTTTCCTGGAAGATTAGTTCGGTCATATTCTTCTGTTCATTGAGGCCACTTGGAGACATAAACAGATGTAATAGCCTATCCAGGAATGAATAATGCTGGTTTTAAGGCATGAATAGTAGGACATTTTCCAAGGAGTATTCTGTATAAGGCCATCGTATCAATCCTTCAGATAAGTTTTAATTCCTAGTTGAATGTTAGCCTAGGAAGTCTCTACTTTGTCTCAGTGTACATTAATTAAGTGATTATTAATTAGCAAACCTCCCTTATTTGTCAAGTGAATTTACTTATAAGGTAAATTCTTAAATTCTACTTCTGTCGCCATTTCTCACTCTGGGAAAATGCAAATATGCAAGTGTCTTTCGTTAAAGTTATGGTTTGTTTCTCCAAACTCTTCCCAGTTTTCACAGTGACCTGGACTTTCAACAACAGAATAAACAGGGTTCTCCAAACATCACTCAGATCGTCACGTCCATTACTTTGTGAAGTAATGATCAGCCCCTTCGTGCGCTTCAGTGCACTATAATGACACTGTTGAGTTTTAGCACAACTGCAGCCGGGCTGTTTGGAATGTAGCGTTGGAAGCCTATTTTTGGAAATATATTTGAATTAACGGTTCACGTAAACGGAAGGTTTTTTTTCTTGGACACTCAGCTGCAGTACCAAGTTGTGACTGCAAAAATACCGCAAGGAAAAATGAACCACAGATTTGAACATGTACACTGTGAACAAGATACGATTAGCCATTATGTGACACTGCTAGGATGCTACCCCATGAATACTGGTACCCTATGGTTTCTAGAATACATTACTTTACTACTCATTTCTGTGCTCAAAAGGGGACAGCAGTAAATAGCACAAATCCTTTCATCTCCATGATCAGACTGGACCTGCATCATCTCCCACGTGCTAATTCTCATAAAACAGGGCACGTGAACACAGCCGAGCAGCCTTCAAGAGCGCAGTGTCATAGGCCGCATCCAAATCAAATGTACGACTAGGTCTAGGTCTTCACCCATAAGAAATACATAGGCAAGGACACGTTGACAACAGACATACCTGTGGCTCTGGAAGCCTGTTTCAGACACAGCTAGAGAGAACCTAAATGTGACATATGAATGATGCAAAAACGTTGCCAAACAAATTCTTGTGCTGAGTAGAAACAGGACGTGAACCAGTCACAAGAGATACATGTACATACGATGTGGCTTTGGCCGGTATCCTGTTTCTGTTAGCCAGGTATTTTTCCTTGCTTGAAGAGAAAATTTCAGCGCTTAGCAACAGTATGGAATGAGCCCCACTGACCTCACTGTAGAGCTGCATATTTCTCCCTTTCAGCTAGCATACAGGGCTTGCTAACCCTCACCTGTGTCTGCCAGTTTGTTTTTACCAGCGGCCCTTACAGGGAACAGGGACGTGTCAATTTTTGAGGGTCGCACGGTGTGATTTCGTCAGATCCCCGCTGGATAGAATTTCCTTGAGCAATAATGACATGAATGTGCAGAATTTGTGTGAGCGCTGATTATGGCTCCTGCAGAAAGATACCCACGACGCTTAACAATACACCTCCCATGAAAAATGCTGCGACTGCCATCAGCCCATTCCAGAACCCTGCAAAGGGTGGTGGGGACCCAAGAACACCAGCCAGTTGAACATAAAGGTGGCATACAACCCCATTTCTACCTGTGGAGAACAAAATGCACTTGTAACCAACACGTACTGGTACAAGTACGGTGTACTCACGTTTTCATGTTTGAACCGTGTGAGGATCTTGATTTCTCTCAGAGTTCGCTGGCAGTACGTTTGATGTTCAAAGGGGCTGATCTTCTTGATGGCCACAGCCTGGCCTGTCTGTTTATCCCGAGCCGAACTGCAGAAGGACAAGACATGGGGGGGGGGAAATAAAAGAATTTCTTTGGCATCTTTTTTAGTAAGAGAAGCATTTTATCATGCATGTTCCAACTTGACAGTCGGGTAATTAACTCCTCACAAGCAATCCATTCACAAGTCACAAGCTGTTGAAGTGAAGGTATGTATCCTCTGTCTCTATTTATCCCCTGATTGTCTTGGGACTGGGCTTATTCGGCCTGTGACTGACTTGTGATGGATTTACATGTAAGAGGATGAGCATGACTGGAGTGAGATGGAGAAATTTTAATTATCCATGAAATATTCACCAGGGGCTTTGAGGGTTCCCAACAGCAGTGTAGGGTCTAGGGGGACATCTGTGTTACCCAAAGGCACCCCTTAAAATATCCATTTCTTGTGTGTTAAGGCTTTTCATGTATAAAAAAATCTTACTGATAAACTCAGGATTTTACAGATTTTAAAAATGATAATAATATTGCATTTATATTGCACAGAAACAATATCAATGTTCTAATGCGCCTTACAAATATTTAAAAGTACGCTACATTAAACAAAAATATAATAAATTAAGAATACACTTAAACCTACATAAAATTATATAAATTAATACAATTACAATAACAGTGCTTGCTTAAAAAAATTTAAAAGAGATTATTTGAAAATCAGGGTCATTCAGGATGAAACAAATCCCGACAATTCTCACCACTTGATGTCATGATGAAGCATACTAGATCACTGCACTGTTTGTGTTCATGTGCATGTTCATGTCCATGTAAATAACATGCATTGCAGCTAACCAAGCCATCTTTTATTTACTTCTTGTTCTGAGATCAATATAATTCCACCAAAATTTAGGAAACTGAACTTGCTTTTTTTTTTATCCAGCAGGGTTTCCCCAGGGGTACTGATCTGTTTGAGGAGGTCAAACAAATTTTGCCATAATTCTAGTGCCTAAAAAAACAGCAAGTGCACAAAAAGGCATTAAATAAATTCTATAAAGTATGCAGTACATTTTACTCTAACTTTCCCCTCTAAAATAAATTGATCTTGTATCCTGTGTCCCTCTTTACCGTTCCGAATGACTTGAAAAGGATCTAATTCAAAATATCTCACTTATTTTGCTTTTTCCTTCCATTGTTGTCTATTTTAAGTGTGAGGTGGTAAAATCCAACAGCAAAGCCTGAGGTTGTCACTAAAATCAGTGAAGTGGGCCGCCTCACCGTTGACTAAGCAAGGCAAAATAGGCTTTGTTTTTGAAGAATGGTGCCATTAGGTACACATCCTTCAGGCAAGTTTCAACCTAAATTTAATTCAGTATCTGTTTTTTTCTGTGTTATGTATGCACACGTGCAGTGCATATCTCAAGATTCTGAACCGAGTAGGACTGTGCTGGCACGGCCGAATACATGTACATGTACCTGAATATTTGATCGATTACCGAATATTCTAATATTATTTTCTGAATTTGAATAATCAAACCAAAAATTCAGGAAAAGGAAGGGAGAATTTTCTTTGGTTTTAAATGAGAAAAACAACACTATGGAGGCTTGTTTCAAGCAGATTCAAATGAAAAGCAACAGAAATCCTACGACTTCAAAGTTTAAGTTACATACTAAAAAATTCAACCGGGCAAGAAGTATTGTTTGTCTCTTAAATCTTGCTGGACAAACTCCTGGATCTGAGAAACTATTATACTGATTATAATGTACATTGTGTGCGTTATTGCAACTGATTTTGTATATGGTTTAATCATCAACAATCTGCTGGTCCGCAAGACTGAATATGCAGATATCGGTATTTGATGGAACTGAAGGTGGAATATTCGAATAGTGAATGATTCAAATTAACTCAGCCCTAGAACCGAGACATGATTCACAGGCCATGGTGAATGACCGACCCATACAGGAGTGAGGTCGCGGTGAAGACTGGCCAGAAAGATTACCTTACAACACTGTCTTTCTTTTTCTCTTGTATTGTTCCTGCCCTGTGTCTCCGTGTGGGTGTGCTGTTTTGTTTGAGTGCTGTCCAGCAATGCCAAGCAGGTTATTCAAGCACACTGCGTGCTCCCATCTTATGCCAAGACAAAAACCAGCGAAGTCAGACAGATTTATCACCCCTTGGTGACCCTCCCCCCCCAAGAAAATTTACACACGCATGAACCTAAAACAAAACTCTGTCAATTTCGATCAATGCCACATCGCAAGAGATGTTTCCCATTCACGTCAAGTAATGCAATACTCATGACGGTTCAGATTACTGGTAAGAAATAAAAGAGTAGTTCTATATTTATCTTGGGACATTCAGCAAGACGTGAGGCTTTCTAATGAAATGGGATGAAAGGACTGCTGCCAACGTACTCAGAAATCCAACATCAAACATTACCACCTACATGTACATGTACATACCCGCATGTGTACAATGTACAAGTGTTGTACATCATACATGTAAAAGAGTTAATAGTCGTAAAAAAGAAATTGTATTTTGAATACAGGTACATACCTGTAATTGTCTTGTTTTAAATGTTATTTGCTTTCTGTAATGTTGATGTTCACGCTTTTATAACTACATGTACACTTACACTGTACATGTAGTTACTCTTATTCTCGTTTTATTCAATTTTTGTGTGTTTGATACAATTGAACACTTGCTACCAGTAAATACTTCCATTCTACACAGAGCATTCACAGATGTGGGTATAACTATCAACGAATGACTTGAAAATCACCGGTTGTGTTCAAATAACATCTATTTGTTGCATGGGTACACGTACATGCACCAAGAAAGAATACAAACTGGCCTATTTTACATGTAGATGTACGGTACGTGTACATGTACATGTATGTATACATGTAAATACCGGTACATGTATGTACATGTACACTGGTACACCACATACATGTACATGTAGCCAGAAGTATTCATACATGTACAGCACACGCAATAAACATGTTACTGGTATACAGTACATATACATGTACAATATGGTCATACCATACATTCTTACAGTATCTTTGGGAAATGGATACTTTTGTACTGGTACAGTCGCTGCACTATGTTATCTAAGTTCTACATGTATACATGTATATATATTTCAAACTTGGTGGGGACTGATAAAAATGTGAAAATGCCAAGCGGCATAAACATGGCTTCAGGGCCCCTTAGGCTCCCCTGTTTCGAGATCAAGCCTGCTATACATGTATGTATTTCTAGGCATCCTATATGTAGGTTAACATCTTTGGGACATAAAAACCAGAAGCAACTTCAAGCAAATTTAAACAATTGTAGACCACATTTGTTGTCAAAATCAAGACAACAAAATACATTATCCAATTTGAAATTTTTCAGAATACACCAGTACCGGCACATATACAGTACATAAATAGGCCTACAACTTGATCATCAGATTCTAAATCTTGCTCGATAATTTTTTTTAACACAGAGGAGGACGATCAAAACTGGGTTCCGTAGGCCTGCTGGGATACTTCTGCAGGTTGGAAAAAGCAAGTACGTGTACATGTACATAGTGTTCAACAAATACTCTACACAGTGAGCAGGTCTTGAAAATGGTACAGGGCACTGCTCTCCAAAGTTGCTGGCCACCAAAATTGAAACTGGAATTCATACTTATTCTGTACTCATGAAGTAGACATGAATTCCTGAGCTCCATTCCCAATACAAAAATCTCCTGCAACGCTTGCAGTCATGCATGCATCACCAGCACTGCTTGACAGGTTACCACGTGCCAGACTAGACTATACTAGACTAGACTACATGCAGACATATATAACTTGTATCATCAGACATTATAAATGAAGGTCAATGTGCATGTATAGGACTTATTCCTGTACAAGCAGGTAGATGTACATGTACATTGTGTATTACAATGTATAACACATACTGCACATTGTTTCCTCAAATTCCTGGCTCATTTCTGGGCAATGTGGTCGGGATGCATGTACAGTACATGTAGGCCTACACTGTACCTCTAAACACCAGATGGTCCGCGGTCTTCTCATACTCAACCCAGTTGGGTACACCATACAGTATGAGACAGCAAACTAATTGTTCATTCCACTTTAAGGGGAGTTATGTTGACTTCATGCGCAGAGTAATCATGTGAATGAGTGTGCAGTATGCGACAGGAACATGCACCTGTGTTTTTGCTTGTTTTCCCTCTGTACTTGATGGGCATGTGCATGTACATTGTACCCGTGTTTCAACAGTGATATTGGTACACGTGGGTCACTCCAGAAATTAGGGGTCCATTTTTTTTTCGTGTCCCTGTCACATCTGACATATGATTTTTGTAAGTTCAGCACACATTTTCTAGTTTCCAAGAGTGATGAATTAATGCAAATTACAAATGCACCTTCCTAATAAATAGTAATAGCTTGAAATCAATTCCAGTGATACATGCAGTTTCTTGACAAATAGCAGAGGTCAGATGTAACAGGGACACGAAAACGTCACACTTTTGGATGCCTGATTTCTGGAATTGCCCATATGTACGTGTACATACATTGTAGTTTGTGCTGCACATGAACCAGGACATGCCTACGTGTACATTTACACGTACTTCATTAGCTGCCTGCAGAAGGGAGTTAATTAACCCTGACCCCCTACCAGTAGGGTGTACATGTAACATCAGACTGAAATTGGATGATTTGCGACTGTCAGGGCTATGTTTCACATTTATGAGCAATCATGCATGTCCAATGGGGGAAAGTCACGATGACATGCACATAGATACCCGTACAAGCTTTTCCTTATTAATTTATAGCACACACAGAATGCTGAATACATAACGGTACATATATGTACATATGTACAGTACATGTACATAACCGTACATGTACAGTAAATGTAGCTCATTCAATCCCTCACTAAGTGCGTAATCATTTAAAAATCAATATGCACATAAGTAGGGTAGCCTTCGTGTAACAAAGTTTCATTGTGATTTCCTCTTGCCAGGCTCAAGACACCTTGTATAGCTTCACAGTT